TCTGGGGATCTTGTTCACGAATGGGGGAAGAAGGGAGCGGGAGATCGACAGGCGGATTGGTGCAGCGTCTGCTGTACAGCGGAGGAGCTGGAAGAAGTGGCTGGGGAGAGGGAGGTCTGGGCCTCCCTTCTGAAGCTGCTGCCCCCGCGACCCGACCCCGGATAGGAGGAAGAAAATGGATGGATGGATGGATGGATGGATGGATGGATGGATGGATGGATGGATGGATGGATGGATGGATGGATGAAGTTATTGTCCAAACTCTTGGTGAACCTTTTATATATAAAGCTGGACACCTGGTGGACTTTGTTTGGATAAAACCAGGTCCATAAACTGGTTTGATTGGCAGGTTGTTATCAACAGGTGAGTTCTTCACACCTGATAGCTGCACTTTTATTGTCTTTAATTGACCTGTTTGTCATTTTACACCATGGACAACATGATTATCAGTCAAACTGACCTTTGACCCCACTTTAACCACATGTTGACCAAACAAACTCATATATTGAGGGGTTTCCTGCTCTGGGTTCTGATGCCTGATGGGTGGATTATGGACCATTGGTGGTACTCTTGTTCTACACGCAGCAATCGTCTCTTGTTTCAGGAGCAGGAACTGCTTCAGTGTTTTTATGAGAAGAGCTGAATTTAAAGAAATAGAAAAGAAAATTTGAGTAACTTTTCAGTTACGACAGTCTCAGATACAGATCGCTCTAATTCAGGTCAAGTTTGGTGCAAAGATGTGGTCGATCTGGTTCTGTCCAAATCCAGAGGCTGGGTCCTCTGAAGGCCAAATTTGTCGGCCTCAATGCCGGAGGCTGTCCAAATTCAGACTCCTCCCACGCTGTCGACAAATGTCGTTTTGTCCTGATTTAAAGGACGGGTCCAATGGATCCGTCTCAGTCCACCATRTCCCATAATTCATAATCTTCTCTGTTATCAAGTTCATGTACAGTGAGGTGCAAACGTTTGGGCACCCGGGTTAATTTTCCTGATAAATCATTGATTGTTTGGATATTAAAAATCAGTTAAATATATCATATAGAGGACAAACACAGTGATATTTGAGAAGTGAAATGAAGTTTATATGATTTACAGAAAGTGTGCAATAATCGGTTAAACAAAATTAGACAGGTGCATAAATTTGGGCACCAAAAAAGGAAAATTTATAAACTTCATTTCACTTCTCAAAAATAAGTGTTTGTCCCCTTAATGATATATTTTACTGTTTTTTTTATCCAAACAATCAATGATTTATAAAGGTAAATCAAGAAAATTAACAAGGCTGCCCACTGTATATCACCTTGTCTGTTAGCAAAATATCTCATGAACCAATGGATGAATTTTAATAAAACTATAGCAGAGATATTTCTCAGTTAACCCAGTTCAGTTCAACATTAACCAACATTAAAATGTAACTTAATTAGATTTATACACATTACATTAACATGTTGGTGTGGTAGTAGGTGAGAGTCATCCACAACATGTTTCAAAATATCAGTGGAGGGCACTGCTAATCTGCTAACAGCAGGACTAGCTTCTTATTTAGCAAAAGAGCTATTCGGCTAATTTGAGAAACTGTTAGCGGACCAATTAGCTTCCACTAAATTAGGTTCTGCTGATTTAAAAATTCACTAATAAATTTACGAGGGTAAAAATTTATTTTTTATTTGACAATCATCTTAGCAGTTTAGCATTAGTGGCGCTAAGGTTCTTGTTTAGCAGATTATTGGTTAGTGAACCAAACATTTAGGTTAGCTGAGCCTACCGCTGATGCTAACTACAAGCTAAAAGTAGCAAAAAAGCTAACAAAATTTTAAAAAATGTTAGCCAAAAACAGCAATACATTAGGTAAATGGTGGCAAAATACTGACTAAATCTTAAAATAGCTAAACGCTATCTTAAGTTAGTACAAGATTAATTCAAAAATAAAGTAGAAAAAGGCTAGCTAAAGCTAAACGTAGCAAAGGACTAGCTGTATATTAGAACTGAATAAACCATTTTTGATTCCTCTGAAAGGACTGTCTCAACAGCAGACAAGTTCAAAATGAAGAACATCCTAATAAAAGAAGAAGTTAGATGTTAGATTGTAACATTAAAAAACTGAAAAATGATTGAATTATGTAAGAAAAGATGAAAGACAAAATAAAAGCAGAGTTTTAGTTTGACCTGCAGACATCTGTTGTCTTCAGAGCAGAAACGTCTGAAAACAAAAGAAACTTTTTCTGAGCTCCATCCTGGACCCAGATCTGGGTCATGGGTCGCAGGTACGACCCGGTTCAGTGAGGAAACACACACACAGGTGATAATAGATGCAGTTTAAACTAATCTATTATCAAATTTCCTTTAACTTCACCTGAAGCTGCAATCTGATTGGTTGATTTTTTAAAGTGAGTTTCACCTGGTTTATAGTTTTTTTTTAGAGATCACATTAGAACAAATGTTAATGAGCAGGTTTTTAATGCATCATGAACAGTTTTAGTTCATCATAGTTTGAAGTTTACCAAATATCTTCACTCCTCAGCAGTGATGTATAAAGCAGTGTTTCCCAAAGTTGGGGTCGGGACCCAAAGTGGGGTCCCGAAACATCAAGGTGGGGTCCTGAAAAGATTTTCTGAATTAATTACATTTTTGCCTTAGTTGTTACAAAGGAGTGAGGTTAGTGTATTTAAAATGGATAAATGTAGAATAATAAATATTGTTATTATGCCCATGTTTAGTTGACCTGATACAAATGTTTATCATCCAAAAACAGTTGTTCTCTCAGGTCTCTACTGTTATTTTGTGGGTCAAAAGCTGAAAAGTTTGGGAACCACTGCATTTTGGTTCCCAAAGTTGGGCTTGGGACCCAATTATGGGTCATGAAGCACCTTGGATAATCTCCAGAAATCAATTTAAAGGGTAATAAAATAAATGCTGATGTAATATTTCCCTATAACTATTCAAAAACACAAAATAAGTAAAAATAAGTATTTATATTTGTGTACAAGCAGTTTAGATTGTAAAAAAGCCGGTGTTTAGGGTTATTAATGACGTTTGTGTACTCAGACCAGTAATATTTGGGGTCACAAGTTTTTTGCCATGGATATTTTGTGGGTCAGAAGACAAAAAGTTTGGGAACCACTGGTATAAAGTACCAGAAAGTGATACGAGTAAAGGTATACCACAAAAACCGAGCCGCATACTTTCTATTTACATCAGGTTATACTGAACGAAATCTTCACTTTTCCTCATGTTGTAGTCACATCACCAGGAATGAGCTGATTCTATATAAAAAAAAACCCACTGAATTAAGATATAAAATGTATATTTTGAAGTATAGTTTGCTGTGAGAATAATATTGTTACGAAGTCAAACTTGTTGTCATGGAAATCAAACACATTTTTTGTGTTTTTACGATGTTTTGAGTTTACATTCAGTGAATATCATGTCCTAAGACGGTTTTAGGCCCTAAAAGACATATTTGTACTGCTGCAATTAAATTTACTATCACTTTCTGGTAAAGTTGGTAGCATATTATTAATCTGTGGGCTCCATTATTGATTTAGAAGCAGTGTGAGCAAACACAGCTACTGTTAACATCTGTCTCCAAACACTGAATCACAGCCTTACTATAAAATGAATGAATAAACAAGAAAACGCCACATTTATGTCAAAGACATTTTTTTATATTCCTAATGGGAGCAACAGCAAATATTCTGTTAGAGCAAAGGAAGTTTAGTTTGAATTTTCAGTTTACCTTTACAAAACGTAAAATTAGACTCCCTGTAGTTTTTAAAGGGGGGTGTTGTTGTACAAAATGGACTTTTTTGAGCTTTACATTGTGTGATGATGTCATCCCCTCATCATGTTGCTTTGACTCATTCATGCATGTTTGAGAAATCCTTGAATCGTCTGTGAAGCTGCCTAAACACTTCCTGCTACAAAGCTCCGCCTATTGTACCTAGCTCCTCCTCCTGAGTTCAATCTGCAACCAAGCTCTCACCCCCCAGAGCATTGTTGTGAAGACGTCAGTGTTGTATAAAGTACCCCAAAGTGATACTTGAGTAAAAGTATAAGTATCTTACCATAAAATTACTTTGGTAAAAGTTCAAGTCTCCTCTAAGAATATTACTTGAGTAAAAGTCTTAAAGTATCTAATATATGTTGTACTTAAGTATTACAAGTAAAAGTATTGAGTAAAAATGAGTGGCTAGACTTCCCAAAATGATATTTATTGGGAGGTGACACCCTCAAAAAATGTCTAAATTGTTCAAATGTATTCTTCTCATCCAACCACAGTTAAATTCACTCCATCCAGGAGACACAGTTTATCAGGATAATATTTTTTAACAACAAGCCGTAATGAAATAAAAGTAACGACTTTCTACTTCTTGCCTTTTTAAAAAATGTAATGAGTAGAAAGTACAGATAATTGTGTAAAAATGTAAGGAGTAGAAGTAAAAAGTGGGTTGAAAAATAACTACTTAAGTAAAGTACAGAGAGCCAAAAATTCTACTTAAGTACAGTAACGAAGTATTTGTTGCTCCTCAGTGGGTTTTAGGTGGTCTTACTTTTCATTGAGCTCATCCAGGTAAAAGTTTGATGTGAAACAAGGTTTAGCTTTGTTGTATTGTAGTTGCGCACTTCCACCTGCAGCGTCTTTATTTCTGTTTGTGTTTCGGTAAAATCAGAGTGAAGGTATTGTGTTGAGTACGTGGGCTCTGCATTGTTCCAGTCAGGGGTGGAAATCCCCCCCTGGCCTCTGGTTCCGGTGTCCGAGCGTGTGAGGGATGTGTGTTTGTAGCCGGTGGCTCTGCCGGCCAATCGTGTGCCGCCTCTGAGGAAGCAGGAAGGAACACGCCGACGCTGGTCGACCAATCGGAGGCCTGCCCTCCCGTTCAGGAAACCTCTGGTGGAGTATCTGGTGTTCAGAGCATCAACAGACTTCCTAACTGACACATCTGAGTGTCTGGCTTTCAGTCCTCCTTTGCTTTTCTATCTAGAGTCCATATTTGACCACAATTCTGCTCCGGACTCACTGATCCAGTTGTTTCRTAGATCCAGTCACTGTTTCTCCAAACGGGTATAAAAGTATGGTTGTACGTCAGTCATGTCCGCCGGCATGCCTGCTCCTTCGCTGAGGAACAAGAAGTCATTCGCTCGGAGCTSCAGACCGAACACCAGCATGTGTTACCGAGAACAAAGAGAGTTCATGTAAGTCTGAAACATCTGCTTCGTTCATAGATTAGTTCCAAACCAGTCTTTGGTTTACAGATTCAGATTGGTTTGAGGTCTTCAAAGAATATCTTATTGTTTGGTTTTTAGCTAGAACATAGTGGTTCCGACCATCAACCTTGATGCCATCTGGAAAGTCTTGAGAACTTCAGGARCAGTTTTTATAAAGCAAGAGACATTTCATGTCAGCATTGGATCCAAAAGTTGGGTCCATCATCATCCACAGAATATAAATTTAATTAAAAATGATTGCTAATTGTATTTTTCCCCAACACGACTCCTAAGAGAGGTAAAGTCCTGTTAAAAACCAAGAAAGCACTGGATTAATGGTGGTTGTGGTCATTAGATTCAGAGCTTTACTTTGTCAGGAAGTYGTACAGAGTTCCCCAGTCAGACCAGGACACCTTTAACCAAAGATAGTTTGGGTCTCAAGCTCATGTTGCTGTTCTTTAGACCATCAGAAGCTAAACTGTTTCAGAAGCATTGCATCAGGGTATGAAAACAGTTGATTTAGTATTGTTTTTTGGTATTGGAAAACGTTCCTCTCAGTTTGTGTAGTGGAACTCTCACATCTCTTTGGATAGTCAGAATTTAAGAGTTCTGTTTTGTTTTACCTCCTGCCGTTTTTAGTAGCATTTGCTCAATTTTAAAGCAGATGTGAAACTTCTCTGAAAATTGAAGTTACACTGGTCAAAGTGAGGACCAGCACTCACTTCAGTGGAAATGACAACATGTCTTTACTATCTGTATCTACAGTGCATCATGTGGACGGTAGACTCAGACGTTTGGTAGACATAAACATACAGATGGAACAAATTGATGCTGAAGTGTAAAAGCCAGTTAGAGGTGTTGAAGATAACCGTTAGACCTTTGTGTCTTTTGTGAACAATTTCAGCTTTGAAAGAATTTATGGTGTCAATAACTTTGTGTAGCCCAGGGGTTCCCAGCGTTGGGATGAGTACCCCTGTAGGTCATGAAACGTGGAGTCGGGGGTTCTTACATCATCTCTAGTTGCATTTCAAAATGGGTGCCCTTGATATTCTTATCATCGCTGTTACTGTTAAAAAAATCCATCATAARGTTATAAAAATGGTATTCTGGTTAAGATGGCTCTGTCCGTGGGTCGGAAGCTGAAGCTTTGGGAACCACTGATCAGTAATGGACTTGTGATCTGTCCACTGCTGGACCTGTGCACCGGCGGCCCCTGTGAGCCTGAAAGGATGGTTGAACGATCAGACCTACAAAACCCAACATTTACCAACAGTTTGACTTAAATGAACCCATTAACCTGCTGCAAGTTACCTCTTATCTTTCACCTTAACTTGTTTGGCCCAAACCAGAGCTTTTCAGGTGGAGTTCTGTGGAAATGAACCTGTTGTAGGTTAAATGAGCTCAGTTTGAAGCTATTGAAGTGATCAAACTGATTAGTGATTGGTTGGTGCAATAAAAGGAAAATAAAAAGTAAAGTAGCTCAATGGTTCCCAACAGTTGTCAGGAGTCATATTTGAGTGGGACTCAACTCTTTGTAAAGTTTTAGGTGGTTTGTTTGGTTGTGGTTTGTTCTTGTTGTAAAACAAACATTTCTGCACATTTTAAGTCGTTGTAAAGGCCTCCCTGTGCTCAGTTATCAGTTGTTTTCCTCTGCGTTTACAGGAAATGTTCTCATGCTCGACCCCTGTTTCAAGGAGGGSGCAGACAGGATGTGTATTCAAAGAAACAAACTTCAGTGTTTGTTTTCCTCTGTGCACCTCGTGTCTGTTTAATTTGTTTCAGATTACAGATTTTAAAAGTTTCATTTTGAAAAGTCTTGTGTTTCTTCCTGTAGTCGACGTGGTCTGACGTTGGTGCACTTCCTGTTGAGTAGTTGGGCCATATTTGGACACAGGAAGCTACAGGTAGAGAAACAGGACCTGTTTTTACTATTTCAGCACTCCAAGAGCCCACGACTACAGGTGTTGGTGTCAACCAGKGAACTTTCTCTTTCTGTTCTGCTTTTTAAATTGTTCCTGGTTTACCATGAATTTCAGGTACTAGAGTTCATTTTGTGACCAATCAAACGGCACCAGCATAAATGAGTTCCACATATCAAATTATTTTAATATTCTCTTTAAATCTTGTCTCGGTTTGTTACAAGTTAAACCTACACCTGATTAGGATGTTAAACATATATTTTRTTCTTTAAACACGTCTGACTCATTACCAGGCCCGCATGATGTGAACACAAAAACACTTGCGGCAGCAGAAATGTCTTTTACTTAAAGTAAGAAAAACTAATCAAACTTACTAACAACTCATTCTTTGTTAAATCACACATAACTTAACCAAAACAACAAGAAAACAAACTGCAGCTCCATCAAGAGTTTGTTCATTTGTCCTGAATAAAATCATCTTTACTTGTTTTGACTTTTTCTGATTGTGTTGAAAATCAGCAATCACATGCTGAAAAAAGTTTACACACACACACACACACACACATATATATATATATAT